CGGGCGCTTCAATGCAGGTCGGTGAATCGGGCGGGCGCGGAATCATGGCGACGGCGGCAACAGCAGCAACTATGATGATAGTAGCGATGGTGGTGGTGATGATGACGATGACGACGGCAAGGCCAATGGCGGCGCCGATGCTGGTCACGTCGGAGACTGCAAATGTCGATGTGTCGCTGATGAAGGTGATGGGTGGATTTGGAGATGCGCGCGCGGCCGACGCGCGCGAGTGGCCCGCATGGTGATACCTGGCAAGGGTTAGAGTGCAAACCGCGGCCGTCCCCCCCGTCTGTTCCCCGACCGCGCCCACAGCGGCGCCCCCGAGGGTCGTCCGTGGAGGCCTTCGCGGCGGAGGTCTTGGCGCCATCTCCTCCGCCTGCGCCGCCGCCCCCTCCTCCCTGTGGCCGTCTCCAGCAGGCCTGGGAATTGCCCTTCCTCTGCGGCCGCCTCCTGCCCGCAACCTCCTCCCTTTCCAGCGGGGGCCTCTCAAGCGCTCGAAGGATTTTAACACGCTGGCATGCAGAGCCCGCGGGGTCTCGTGCGACGAGAAGGTTGAACACACACTCCATGGGTCTCCCTGAGCATTCGCACGAGCGCGTGCAGACTTTTTCGAAACCGAATGTCGGGAAGTCATGGTGTGTTCAAAACGCGCCCTCCGGAACCTAACTGATGAAATCTCAAATAATCGAAAGCAGGTCTTCTAACAAAATCCGACATTCGCGCGCGACGACGCGGGCGTGGAACTGTGATTTGATGGGCAAGAGATTTGTTCGCACCTTTTTTAACTACCAAGAGCAACTTCGTGTATAAAGAATACAGCGAATGCGCGCGCATAATATTTTGTTGTCAGCGGTGCGTTCCGGGGACTCTAAGGGGTGGTCGGCAGTTGTTTACAGCGTGATCGATGAAGCAACATCACATGTAAATTGTACTATTCCGGGGGGGGGGCGATCAACAGGAGGGAGGGGTATATTGCATATTCCTCGCAGAACAGAGAATACATGTGGTGCAAACTATGTGGTGCAGACGCGACGGGCAGCCAGAAGCTAGCTGGACCAACACGAACGCTCAGACGGGCGGCGGCGACAGGCGGCGACGGGGCGGCGGCGGCGACCACGGAACCGCCAGACCGACGGGCAAGCCCAGAGCGACGGGGCGGCGGCGGCGACCACATAGCCGCCAGACCGACGGGCAAACCCAGAAGACAGACAGCGACGGGGCGGCGCCCACATAGACGCCAGAACGACGGGAAGGTCCAGGTCCTTCGGAAAGAAATATAACCGCTAAGTACAAGCACTGCTTGACTAATGCATATGTATATGTATATGTGCAACTCTGTGTGTGTTAGCTATATATATGTGTATATATATATATGTGTGTATGTGTGTACGTGTGTATTCCTCCCCCCCTTTGATTCGGGAAAACCATGCAAGACATCTCCAATACCAAAACGAGACACGCATTCGCAGTAAAGCAGACGTGCCCACTTCCAGTTGAGGTCAACGCTGGATTGATCTGTCAACGCACACGCTGGATGACTGAAACGACTCTGTCTACCAGCCACACCCAACAGGCAAGTGCTAGTAATAGCTGGAAACGATATCATGGTCAGTGCGAGTGGCTGATTACCGGCAGACGACATCTGCGCGGCTCCGCGCATGGAAAACAAATAAGGCTCTATCATGGAGGACACTCGCCAGACCAACTGGACAGATGCATGCCTATGTCGAAGTAAGTACATCAGGCAATGCGGGCCACATATTATGTAGTTGAATATAGCTCTCGCACACGCGGGCGCCCTTATATGGTCTGCAGGTGGAGGTCCTGTCAAGGGGCGCCAAGACGTCAAGGTGGCCGAAGAAGCCTCCCTCGGAGACCCGCAAGGAATCCAATATCAGTGAAACTGGTGGTGTCTAGAACTTTGGGGTTTCTCGCCGTGCCAGCTCCAATATGCTTCTGAGGCTTCGAGGTGGCCCCGAAACAGCCCCCGAAGGGGCCACGGGCTTCTCTGGGGGTTCTCACCGGCTACTGTGAAACGTCCAGGGCGGGGGGTAAACACGAAGCGTCGTGAATAATGTTCATGCGGCGCGTGAAGCATCGTGAGCACGAGGCTCAGATCAAACTGCCGTCGCTCTTAGGCCTCCGAGGCCTCACAACGAATAATATACTCGCCGTGTGCCCTTGCTGCCACGCTGAGCGCGGCCTCTGACCCGATATACCAACAAAACAATCGTACGACCATATTACTCGTCTATGTGCATGAGTACATGTGTGTGCATACTTGGGTGCGTACAGGAGCGTCTGTTCTAGGCTCCCAGAATCCGAAGACGTGTGCTGATTTAGAAAAAAACACCCCAATCCAGCCGCACAAATCCGCATGATCGAGGTCTAGCCCAACTGCCCGAAAGGCACTCCTGGGACCCAATGAACCGGCGAGGCCAGAAAATACAACATTGAGAACGGAATACTTTAGTAACGGCGGCTTTCTGCGCATGCTGTCCGCAACCAAAGGGCCGCTGGCTCTGAGAAGAAAATGGCAAGGCCAACTTGACCGGGACACCCTAGTCACACAAATCAATCCAACCCCCCTCCAGGTGGGGCCAGGGTGTACGGGGCCGGGGGATGCACTCCATCGCCGATGCATCGGCAACGCCGGGATCTAGAGCATCTGGATTCGGCATGGCCGATGCATCGGCGATGCGGCGCGATCTGCAGCCTCTTCTAACTACTCTGGCCCCATTCGAGGCCTGCTCTCCTTCGCCCTCGCCCTTCTTCCCTCGTCACACGCGTGGAAGGAGGGGGAGAGGGGGACAGGTAGAGCAGGGGAGTGATGGGTCCAACCAGGGTGCCCGGGTGTCTACAAGCGCCGATTGTCGGCCACCCACCGCCAGGCCATTCGATGCGGCAGGGCCGAGCGATCTGGCCAGTGAGGCGCTCCTTCTCCTCCTGCCTTCTCGTCCTTCTCCCTCCCCTTTCCCCTTCGTCCCTTCGCCTTCCTTCCCCTCCGGGAGGCCTCCACCTCCCCCTTGCTCTTCCTCCCCTAGGGACGAACGCGAGTACGAACTTATCTGGGTTGATGAATGCGCAACTCAGGGCTTGAACCGTGCATGCATCTTTAAAGCTGTCGGGGAAAGAATGCCTCACTGGATTATTGCCTTGGCCCTCACTGGGCGGATTGCTCCAAGCTGCTGCACAAGAGACATTGGGCCCAGCTCCGCCGAGGCCCAAGTGCACAATATAACTGAACAGACACGAGGGAGCGGCGCCTGCTGCACAGGATGTAGGAGCGAGCGCGACAAGCAGGGGGGACAGGGGTGCAGGATGAGAAAAAAGACGGGGCAACCAACATATTCACTGAAATGGCGGGCTTGGGTCCACGCCCGTGCAGGCGTGGTCAAGACGGATACTTCGCCGCCGAGCTCACAACCACCTGCGCGCGAGAAATACCTGCTCGACGATTTCGACGCTCTGAGAAGCGAGAGCGAAGAACACGAGGGTTTCTGGCCCCAGGTCTGGCCGAAATCCGCGCGGTCCCCAGGAACTCCGACCCGAACATCCCGAAGGTGATGGAGACGTTTCAGCATTTCCGCAAACACTCCCACCCTCCTCCTCCTCCTCCTCCTCCTCCTCCCCCTCCAACCTCCTCCTTCCTCCTCCTCCCCTCCTCCCTCCTCCTCTTCCTCCCTCCCTTCTCCTCCCTCCTCCTTCCTCCTTCCTCCTTCCTCCTCCTCTCCTCCTTCCTCCCTCCTCCTCCTCTCCTCCTCCTCCCTCCCCCTCCTCCTCCTCCTTCCTCCTCCTCCCTCCTCCCTCCTCCCTCCTCTCTCCTCCTCCTCCTCCTCCTCCAGCTCCAAATCCTGCCCTTCTGCCTCTGCCCAGAAGCGGAAGGCCCAGCATCAGGGACGAGACGACGCTCTCCAGGGGGCAGGCCCGGGCAGGGCGGAAGGCCGGAGAGGGAGGACGACGAGAAGGACGAGGACGGCGAGCAGCTATCAAAACGTCCACCCCCCATAATGTGGGATGACGATTAAGAAAAAAAGGAGGGGGGAACGATTAAAACATAGTTTCCCACACCGGGGGGGAACGCTCAGAAGCAGGGCTCGCCTGTGCGGTGTTTCGTCACCGGGGGGGGGCGCGCGCCCGAGGACGGCGGGGGGGGGACGATGAAAAAATAGTTTCCCAGCCCGGGGCCGGTTTTTTCTAATCATCATCCCGGGCGCCGCCGCGTGAACACGACCCCCGGTCATTTTTTAATCATCATCCTCCATTAATAACTACCCCGACACGCGACTTCGTTCAGTCGACGAGCCCAAAGAAGGAATCCAACAGGGCGGGGCTGTTCGGTAAACGCCCATGGCAGTTTCGTAAACGCCAATTGTCCGGTCCGGGTGGTTTTCCTCCCTTGGACGAAGGGGGTGGAGGAACGATAATGACTGCGCGTAGATGTGTAGATTACGGAAGGTGGTGACAATGAGTGGAGGGTGAAGAGGGGAGGGGGGGGGGCAACCTCTTGGAGCGCCAGAATGCAGGATGGGCAAGCAGCGGGGAGGCCCGAAGGGGCCTGCAAGCGGCCCAGGTGGAGCCCCTTCTGGGCGGAGAGACGAGACCACCTGGCAATGAGTGTCCGCGATGGGACGCGGCGCCTCTCGATACTCACGACATTTTCACGGCCGACTGCCCGTGGAAGCGTTCGCTACCAATGGCTGGTGGCCGCTGACGCCACGTGCAAAAACACAACTGACTGGCATCGCAACGCCTAGCTTGAACTTCGAAGAATTTTGTGGGTCCCCTCCGTTAAGCACCATATGAAGAGATATGCTGGTGTTCGTAGCGTCGGTTTGGGTTGTGTGGCATGGCCTTCGTCTGGCCTGGCCACGCCACAGGACATGCACGATGAGCCTGAGCAGATATCGCCAGCAGCATCAGCAGGAGCTGCGGCAACAACAGGGAAACACCAGGCACAAGCTGAGCGGGAAGTCTGGCTGGTGGGCGCGCCGGTCGCGTCACGACACCTGCCACCAGTGCACCTGCGGCTTCGTGACCTGCGCCCACTGTGCCTGGGGAGCAGCCCGCTCCTCTCGCAGCTTCTCAGTCACTCCCTGCTCCCAGCTCCCTCATCTCTGCGGTAAGTGGACAACCTGTTCGAAGCCTTACATGTTCGTGGGGATTTCTGATCAACGCCATCCGCCCCCGAAATCAATGTTGATCTCAGTGAGGTAGTGCTTTGGGGGTTAGAATGTTTCTGTCCATTCGCACCCTCTCCTGCACAACGCTCTCAATATTAATTTCGGGGGGTCCGGGGGGCATCTTGGGTAACAATATTCGGATACCATTTCCATGTACGGTCCCTCATCCTGCCCACAACGGCGCTCAGTAATCCCCGCAAGGCTCGGTATGATGATGAGGGAGACAACCGGGGATACATCCAAGGAACGAGAATTGCGAAAACCAGCAGGAACGCGGGGGATGGGAAAGGGGAGGACGGTTCACGACACAGGCCCGAAGATAGCCCGAAGACGGCCCCAGAATGCCCAAGGAGGACCGCAAGACGGCCCAAGAGAGCGCCGAGACGGCCCAAGATGTCCACACGGATCCGCAAAGCGCGCCAGGTCGGCCCACGAGGTCATGAGATCCTCCAAGAGCTGGGATGAACGAGAAGCCCACTTTTGGGGTCCTGCCGCAATTCTGGCCCGGGGGTCTGCGGGGGAGGGCGGCGGGAAGGGGGGTCAGTATCGGGGTAAGTTGGGGTCTTGTTTCAATCTTGTTTCACTTTCGCGTCGGCATTTCTTTCAGTCTTTGTGTCGGTCTTGTTTCAGATTTGTTTCAGTCGTACGTCGGTGACACAAAACTGAAACAATACCAAAACAATTGCGACGGGGGGTGGAACGCAACTTGCCACACTTCCCGTCAAAACACCGTTTGTGGCGAGTTGCATTACACTCCCTGTCGCAATTGTTGCATTATGGTTTCAGTCGAGTGTCACCAACAAAAGACTGGAACAATACTGACACAAAATTATACAACCGACACAAAACTGAAACAGGATCAGAACAAGACTGACACAAAACTGAAACAAGACCGACGGACGCCCGAAACAAAAAAACATTATCCTGGCGAAGGGCCCAACCATACACAATTCCGAATGCCGCCGTTGTAAGTATCGTCGTTGGTGGAACACCCGATGGGGCCACGAAGCGTGTGAGAGGTGCGCCAAATGGAGGTGGAACTGCATGCGGACCCTGCCACTGGGGCCTTCGGTGGAGCACCCTGTGGGGCCGCGAAACGTGTGAGGGGTGCGCCGAAATGGAGGTGGAACTGCATGCGGACCCTGCCATTGGCGCCCTCGGTGGAGCTCCCTATGGGGCCGCGAAACGTGTGAGGGGTGCGCCGAAATGGAGGTGGAACTGCATGCGGACCCTGCCACTTGGGCCTTAGGCGGAGCTCTCTATGGGGCCACGAAACGTGTGAGGGGTGTGCCGAAATGGAGGTGGAACTGCATGCGGACCGTGCCACTTGGGCCTTAGGCGGGGCTCCCTATGACGCCACGAAACGTGTGAGGGGTGCGCCGAAATGGAAGTGGAACTGCATGCGGACCCTGCCACTTAGGCCTTAGGCGGAGCTCCCTATGGGGCCACGAAACGTGTGAGGGGTGCGCCGAAATGGAGGTGGAACTGCATGCGGACCCTGCCACTGGGGCCTCAGGTGGAGCTCCCTATGGGGCCACGAAGCGTGTGAGGGGTGCGCCGAAATGGAGGTGGAACCGCATGCGGACCCTGACACTTGGGCCTTCGGTGGAGCTCCCTATGGGGCCACGAAACGTGTGAGGGGTGCGCCGAAATGGAGGTGGAACCGCATGCGGACCCTGACACTTGGGCCTTCGGTGGAGCTCCCTATGGGGCCACGAAACGTGTGAGGGGTGCGCCGAAATGGAGGTGGAACCGCATGCGGACCCTGACACTTGGGCCTTCGGTGGAGCTCCCTATGGGGCCACGAAACGTGTGAGGGGTGCGCCGAACCGCATGCGGACCCTGAGGGCCTTCGGTGGAGCTCCCTATGGGGCCACGAAACGTGTGAGGGGTGCGCCGAAATGGAGGTGGAACCGCATGCGGACCCTGACACTTGGGCCTTCGGTGGAGCTCCCTATGGGGCTGGGGCCACGAAACGTGTGAGGGGTGCGCCGAAATGGAGGTGGAACCGCATGCGGACCCTGACACTTGGGCCTTCGGTGGAGCTCCCTATGGGGCCACGAAACGTGTGAGGGGTGCGCCGAAATGGAGGTGGAACCGCATGCGGACCCTGACACTTGGGCCTTCGGTGGAGCTCCCTATGGGGCCACGAAACGTGTGAGGGGTGCGCCGAAATGGAGGTGGAACCGCATGCGGACCTTGCCACTGGGGCCTTCGGTGGAGCTCACTATGGGTCCACGAAACGTGTGGCCATGATGGAGACGGCGATGATGATGACGACGATGGTGATAAGAACGATGATGATGATGTTGATGATGACGGTGACGATGACGATGATGATGATGCTGATGATGAGAGGAGGAGGAGGAGGAGGAGGGGGAGGAGGAGGAGAGAAGGAGAGACGCGGGGCACCGTCTCTTCAAAACGAGGACCCAACACCACAGGATGGTTGGGAAAAAAGACCGACAGAAGACCGGAACAGCGCTGGAAATCGTAATTGTGAGCTCCAATCGATTGAACCAACCAGCCCAAGAGGTCCCTAACAGCCTCCAGGAGGGCCGCGGGCCCCATGAGCACCCCCCACAACTCCCAGGACGGCCGCCACGAAGCCCAACGACAGTTCTCAGACACTCCAAGGATATCCCTAAGCGACCCCTGCTCTCAAACGTGGCCAACTCAATAATCAAACTCCACCCAAACAGTCCCTGTAAGTTCGAAGGTCTCCCCATGATCGCCACCTGCACTGAGTGCTGCCCCCCTGAAGGTGAGTGGGTCGTTCATCAGCCGCCTCGCTCCGTGGTCCAGTGCGACCTCCCGTATGTTCTCCCGCGTGTGCAGCACAATGTGATGCAGTACTTCACCGTTGTGCTATGCTGTTTAGGGCCGTCGGCCAACAGGGTGTGACTTGATGTGCGCCCCGTCGCTGCCCACCAAAAGCCTCTTCGGGGGGCCCTTCTGGAGGTGGAGGATGACGTCGGTCGACTTCGTCAGTGTCGTGATTGCATCTCGCGCTGTGAGCGGGACTGTAATGAACCTCTGTAGGCCCTTGAAGAACTCATCGTGCTGATCTGTTCACGGCGCCGAAGGTGTGGGCTTCGTCAACTCGACCACACGACGCATCCTGGGTCGGGGCGAATCCAGCCGCGGTCACGAGGGACGCAAATATGAAACAACTATATGAGCAGCGTCAAGACTCATCCCTAGTCCACTCTCCACCTCCGCCCGCCCTCCTCCCTCCATCTATTCCTTCTCCCCTCATGCCAACCTTGGAGGCCGCCCGCATAGGGCCGGAGTAAATGGGTCGGGGGGGACGCACCGCATCGCCGACGAATCGGCGCTGCCTCAGCGACGTCGGGGTGGAGAGAATCGGGCCCCAGACTGCGCCGCCTCGCCGATTCATCGGCGATGCGGCGCGCCCACCAACCCCATCTGCTCTGGCCCAACGTGGGTGGCCTGTCTCCCGAGGTCTCCCCCCCCTCCTCCTCCTCCTCCTCCTCCTCCTCCTCCTCCTCGTCGTCCTCCTCCTCCTCCGCCTCCTCCGCCCTCCTCCTCCTCCGCCTCCTCCTCCTCCTCCTCCGCCTCCTCCGCCCTCCTCCTCCTCATCCTCCTCCTCCTCCTCCTTCTCCTCCTCCCTCTCCTCCTCCTCCCCCTCCTCCTCCGCCCTCCTCCTTGTCCGCCCCCCTGGCAAAAGCTCGCCCCCTGCCTCCCTCGCCCTGGGCGCCTGCGTGGCCCAGGGCGGCAGGAAGGGCTGCCGCTCCCTGACCAGCGACGGCGCCGAGGCCGAGGTGTGCAGCCTGCCCCGGCACCCCCGCCAGGAGGAGGAGGAGGAGGAGGAGGAGGAGGAGGAGGAGGGCAGAGAAGGAGGAGGGCGGAGGAGGAGGAGGAGGAGGGCGGAGGAGGAGGAGGGCAGAGAAGGAGGAGGGCGGAGGAGGCGGAGGAGGAGGAGGACGACGAGGAGGAGGAGGAGGGAGGGGGGGGGAGGCGCGTTCCCGCCCCGCTCTGCCCCCGCGGCCCCCGCGGGGCCGCAAAGAGGTGCGGCGGAGTGCAGCCAATCCTGGCCCCGTGGGCCTTCGGAAACGCCTTCGGGCCATGCTCCGCGCGTCTTGGCCTGGCTGCAGAAGCCACCAGAAGCCGCGCGCACACCTCTGCAGAGAGACCTGAGGTGTCCTAATGTCGCGCTCCGCGCCGCGCGATGCGCGACGCGCAGCTGTCGTCACGCCCTCGCGCGGCCGCGGAAGGACGACCCTCCAGCCCAGACCGCGAGGCGGGAATTGCAGATGCGTGCACGCCCGTGCGGGCCGACCGGGAACCATTCGTCCTGGTCTGGCTGCGGGACTTCTTCAGCTGGATCGATCTGTGGAGCCCGAAACGGGGCAAAGAAGGGTCTTCGTCCTCCGCTCTGTTCCACCAGGCGCCCCCAGGGGGCGAGGGGTGCCATGCTGCACGACGGGTGGTTCATGTTGTTGAGTCCTCCTTCCAAAAAATAATAATAAAAAAACACGGTGAGGGAATTGTTGGATAAGGATCACCTGGATAAGGAATCCAGAGTCTCGAAGCCAGTGGAACTTCGATCGTGGACTGGCAATGGATATCACCGCCGCCCTCACTAGATGAGGACCCCCCCCCAGGGCCTGAAGCCCCCAGGGCGCATTCCTTAACGAATGCCTCCACCGTAATCATTGTTGGTCCCCCCGGTGCCCATGGCGCTTTTGAATTCAAGTGCTTCTCTGGGGGCTCGCACCCTGTTTTTTTGTACCAGGGAAAGCCTCGAGGCTCAAATTGGGCCCCTGGCCCCTGACTTACAAAACAACTGCCCCCGCCCGATACGTCCGCAACGTCCTCTCCATGTATGCAGGAATTGCGCTCTCGCGTGGGACCTCCTCGCAGTGTCTTCAGACGCCGCCACCTCGACGCTCAGGAATCGCGCTCTCGCTCCAGTCTGTCTTCCAAGCTACTTGGGAATCGTCGAGACGCCCTCGCGAATCGCACAGGACTCGCGTTTCGGCAACCCGCCTGCTCGATCTGGCCGCCAGGGCCCGCCTTCCCGACCTGCCCGTTAAGGTCTGCCCGCCCGATCTGCCCGTCTGGTTTGCCACGTGTTTTCTGCTCCTAGCTCCCTCTTCTGCTAATCTCTCTCGCTCCATCCTTCTCCCTTCCCCTTTCCATCTTGTCTCTTTTTTGTTTAATGGGCTGCGCTACATGTACATGGCAGGTAAGGAAGAACACCCCCAAGGAGGCACGATCAAAGACGAAGAGGACGGACACCGAAGGTTTAGGATGTACGTGTTTCATGGCACGCGGCCGGACAGGAACGAACCGTCTCAAAATGATTGTTGCTGTTGTTGTTGCTGTTGTTGCTGTTGTTGAATGCTCACCAGTACATAATGAACAATGTTGATCCCCCCTCTGGGGCCCAGACTCTGGGGCACAAGGTGTTGTTTAATTAAATTGCTTTTCCCCGGGCTCGCACCCTGTTCTTTTACAAGGGAACGCGAAGGGTCACAAAACTACCCCCCTGGCCTCCGAGTTACAACAACAACGGCTCCCGCCTGATACTTCTTCACGCCGTATTCACAAATCGGGCTTTCGCGAGGGACTTCCTCACAAGTTAAGCAGCAATCGCGCTCTCGCGCGTGACTTCCTCACCATTCGTTCAGACACCGCGCCGTCGACACTCTGGACTCGCGCTCTCGCTGTGGACTTTCTGACGATATATTCGGTAATCGCGCTATCGCTCGAAAGTTCCTCGCGATTCATGCAGGACGCATTCTTCAGCCACCCGCCTGCTCGACCTGGCCGCCTGGGCCGGCTTCCCCGACCCGCCCGTTGGGGTCTATCCGCCCGATCTGCCCGTCTGGTTCTGCCACGTGTTTTCTGCTCCTAGGTCACCTCCTGCTGCTGTGTTTCGTGCTCCATCCTCCTCCCTCCGCCTCGTCCCTTCCTTCCAGTCGTCCTCTCTTCCCCTGCCTTAGGCGCTGCACGAAATACGTGTTACATGTAAAAAATAGACCCCCCCAAGGGGGCACGATCGAAGACGAAGAGGGCGGGCATCGACGTGTGAATGGCCCGCGAGCAGATAAGAGCGAACAGTCTTAGACTGACTTTTGTTGTAGCTGTTGCTCTTGAACTCTCATTTCTAACGAATAATTATTGGCGATCCCCATGCGGGGCACATTCAACTTTTTCAATTGAAGTGCCCTTCCCGGGGCTCGCACCGTGCCTTTTCTACCAGGGAAGCTCTTGAGTCTCAGAATTGGGTTGTTGGCCCCCGGCTGACAACAACGACAACAACAGCAACAACAGCAACAGCAACAATGGCTCCCGCCTGATACTCCCTCACAATTTGTGCGATCCCCGGGAGGGACGCTTCAATTGAAAAATACAATGTGCCCCGAAGGGGGGCGATCAACAATAACTGCTCTTGAACAATAACAACAATCATGTTGAGACCGTTCGCTCTTGTTTGCTCGCGGGCCACTCAGCACGTATATCCTAGACCCTCGATGCCCGCCCTCTTCGTCTTCGATCGTACCCCCCTGGGTGTCTATACATATATATATATATATATATATGTATAGATCCCTTTCTCTCAGTCTCTCTCTTGCTTACCTGCAGCGTGAATTGCGTGCAGCCCTCCCAAGGCAGGATAAGAGAGGACGGACGGAAGGAAGGGACAAGGGTGAGGGAGGAGGATGGAGCACGAGAGGGAGTAGCAGGAGAGGGGGCTGGGAGCCAGAAGACACGTGGCAGAGCCAGACGGGCAGATCGGGCGGGTAGACCTCAACAGGCGGGTCGGGGAGGCTGGCTCATGCGGCCAGGTCGAGCAGGCGGGTTGCTAAAGAACGCGTCCTGCATGGACGCGAGGAAGTTTCGAGCGATAGCGCGATTCCCAACTACATCGTCAGGAAGTCCACAGCGAGAGCGAGGAGGATGGATCACGAGAGTGAGTAGCAGGAGAGGGAGTAGCACGAGAGGGAGTAGCAGAACCGGGCGGACAGATCGGCAGGACAGACCCGTAGCGGGTGGGGTCGGGGAGGCGGGCCGAGGCCCAGGTCGAGCAGGCGGACTGCTGAAGCGTGCGTCCTGCAAGAATCGCGAGGAAGTTCCGGGCGATAGCGCGATGCCCAAATACATCGTCAGAAAGTCCACAGCGAGAGCGCAAGTCCTGAGTGTCGCGGGCGCGGCGCCTGAATGAATGGCGAAGAAGTCCCACGCGACAGCGCGATTCCTGTGTAAATTGTGAGGACGTCCCGCGCGAGAACGCGATGTGGGTACAAATTGTGAAGAAATATGAGGCGGGAACCGTTGTTGTTATAGTTCGGGGCCCAGCATCCCAGCTTGGTGACCCCTCGCTTTCCCTTGAGAAAAACAGGGTCTGACAAAGGACCCAACCATAAGCAATTGTGGATACCGCGTTCTGGGTCTATCGTTCGATGGGACTCCATGTGGGGCCACCAACCGTGTGAGGGGTGTGCCGATATGGGCGGGGAACCGCATGCGGACCCTGCCACTGGGGCCCTCGGTGGAGCTCCCTGAGAAGCCACGGAACGTGTGAGGGGTGTGCCGAAATGGGCGAGGAACCGCATGCGGACCCTACCACTGGAGCCTTCGGTGGAGCTCCCTATGGGGCCACGAAGCGTGCGAGGGGTGACGGGAGAATGAGGGAGGGGGCAGCGGGAGGAGGAACGCGGGGCGATGTCTCTCCACAACGAGGACCCAACACCACAGGATGGTTGGGAATAACATGATGCGAACCCCGAGGGGGGCCTTCGAATTTGAATTAGCCTGACGAAGGACCCAACCAGAAGCAATTGTGGATACCGCGTTCTGGGTCCACATGGGGCCACGAAACGTGTGAGGAAAGTGCCGAAATGGGCGGGGAACCACATGCGGACCCTACCACTGGGGCCTTCGGTGGAGCTCCCTATGGGGCCACGAACCGTGTGAGGGGTGTGTCGAGATGGGCGGGGAAACGCATGCGGACCCTGCCACTGGGGCCTCCGGCGGAGCTCCCTGATGGAGCCACGAAACGTGTGAGGGGTGTGCCAAATTGAGGGGGGTGACGGGAGGAGATAGAGAGGAGGGAGGGGGCAGCGGGAGGAGGAACGCGGGGCGTTGTCTCTTTAAAACGACGACCCCACACCACAGGATGGTTGGGAAAAAACATAATGTACACTGGTGGGGGGGATCAACCATATTATTTTCACGAATGAAAATTCAACAGCGGCTTCCGCCTAATACCTCCGAACAAGTTTTTGAACATCGCGCTTTCGCGCGGGACGTCGCTACACTTACTCAGGAGTCTCGCTCTCGCGTAGGATTTCCTCGCAAGTTATTGAAACGCTGCGCACTCGATACTCAAGCATCACTTTCTCGCTTTGGCTGTTCAAGCGGCTTACTTGGGAAGCACACTATCGCTCGAAACTTCCTCGCGATTCCTGCAGGACCCACGCTTCAGAGCTCTCGCTCGGGGCCTTCGCTTCGCGCTCCTACGTAATTCCCACCGCTGATATCTCTCGTGCGCTATCCTTCCTCCTCCCCCTCTGTCCCTTTCATAATCCCTCCCTTCTCATGTTTTAGGGATTGTGCCAACTACGCGTGGCAGTTAAGGAAGATATACCCCCCAAGGGTGGTACGATCCAAGACGAAGAGGGCGAGAACGCGTGGCAGTTAAGGAAGCTATACCCCCCAAGGGTGGCACGATCGAAGACGAAGAGGGCGAGAATCGAGGTTTTGCCATTTACATGTTGGGTGACATGCGAACATATTAAAAATCGAACGATCCGTACATGCT